TATTTGATACGGTCGCTCCTCCATTCACCAGCTGCAGAAATTCAGTTGAGAAGACGAAATTATGCAATATGGCCTCACCTCAACGTAGCTAGCAGGTACGACACCTTCACCGCCCGCAGCATTCCGACATTTCCACCACTCATCGCCATCCCTCTCCAGCACGAGAAGTGGCTCTCCTTCTTGCACAGTCAGTTCGTCCTCGCCATCTGCACTGAAATCATATAGCGCTACTGCCGCTTCTCCTTCAGGCTCGGCTTCCTCCTCCGGCTCTTCGTCCTCAGCTTCTCTCGGAGGTATAATTTCCGGCTCGGCAGAATCAAAATGAACGGCTTTCTGAGGGCTATTGCGCCGTGGAACTGGTTCATCGACTTGAGTCATGGCCGCAGGAGCAATCAGTCCCGGATCAGAGAGTGAGCGCGAGGACTCGAGCTTCGCCATGATTGCTTCAGCGACGTCCTTGGCACCGGCGTGGAAGTGCAAGTTGATGGGCTCGGATCCTCCGATATCGATGTGAACGTGTTTCGATTTCTCTAGTCGCACATTCTGGATATCAGAGGTCTGCCATTTCTGCACCGGTGTCTGCATGACCGCAGCGCTGTTCAAGCAGGAGCATGGAGGAAACCGATACACTGCGCACCTTGTCCGACTCGCTTGCGAAGAATACCGCACCATTCCCAACGCCGAGCGTTCCCTTCTTCTTTTTGCCCTTCTTGTCAACCTCGGAGATGGTCCATGTCTTGATATCATCGGCCTGCGCTTTGGCGCCCGCGACACGCTCAGCGGGGTCCACATAAGTGCTCACTGGTCGAGATGGGCGGGGAGGCTAAGATTGGGATACCGATACGTAAGGAACACAAGCATTTACGGATACCTGTCATATTACGTACCGAGTCGGGTACAACAATCTGCGATACGACAGAGGGAGTAGGGACCGCGGCCTCAAGCGTGCCCTCCTCAACTGCCTGCGACTGGAGGCATCAGCATATCGAGTGCGTAGATCCTGAACTGTTGGACACACCTCTTCGACGTAATTCTCTGGCACATAGCCGACCCGGGAATCGTCCGACTGTTTCCGCACGAGCAACCATGCGTCGTCCTTGTCGTAGACGTACAACAAGTCGTCCTCCTTCACATCAAGTTCGGTGGACTGACTGGCTTCGTAGTCGTATAGGACTTTCACGGTGGAGATGTGCTCGGCCTGTCCTCCATGAGAACCTTCACGATGCGCAGTATCCAGGGGACCACTCACCGGCTCCACGTAGGCTGCAGGAACCAGACCGAAAGGCCCGTCTTCGTCCTGTGACTCAAGCTTGACCTTGACTTTCCACCAGCTTATACGGAGCGCTCAGCTGAGCTAGAGAAGAGCGAGATTCGCAACTTACTCGTCGTCTACGCGCTCAAGGAGGAGGAGAATCTGGCCTTCCTTGACGGCTAGCTCCTCCTCGGCGTCGGGCTGTGGGTCATAGTCGTATGAAGCTTTTAGAACAGCGAGGTAGATATCTTGGTCTGCCATAAGGAGAGAGCTGGCTTGAGTTGTGGGTGTGATCACATCGGGTGCCGGGGTCGTCTGTTTGGCTGTGTGTCGCCACTCAGCCTGTTCCCTCAGCCGTCTCTCTCACTCCCGTCCGCGCACACCGCGAGCACGGCGAAAGCTGTCGGAAGAGTTTTATTCAGTGGCACTATTCGTCACTTCTTAAATTGCTTCAAATATTCTTGGACGGCATCGCTGAGAGAAAGCAAGTTATCGACCCAATGTCAAGCTTGACTCTGACTGGCGTCCGGCCTAGGGCGTTTGACTTGGACTGCTTGCGCTTTAAACTCGACCACGGTGCTCGATTGCGTACGAATTCCATAGCACTAGCCGTGCTTTGCCTGCTCTCCGCCATCGTCTGATGTTCCGTAAGTGAGATCGCAGACGGCAAGGTCGCGCGTGCGACAATGAGTGCGGTTGCCAAAGAAGGCAGCCGCCTAAGTAAAAACTTGGGCGGGCCGACGGGTCTCTTCCACCGCTTGTCATCTCCTCGTCCGTCTGTATCGTTGCACGTCTCTCCTTCATCTTCTCTGGACCTGTTCCCGCTGTAGCCATGAGCAAACTCAACGCAAATGCTTTCTCTTTCGTCCCCGGTCAGACCTTCCGTGTGCCTCAGCAGAACACTCAGCCTCCCCCTCCTCCCATAGAGCGACCTCCTCAGACTGAAGCACCTGCGCCTCCTCCTACCATATCTCTGAACATTGGCGGCTCCAAGCCGGCCACCCCTCCCGCACAGAAAGAACCTCCCGCAGATGCTTCGCCCTCCAAGCAGCCAGAACCACACAAGCCCATCTCCGCTGCCGCCGCCCATCCTGCAGCCAAGCCAGCCTCACGAGTCGAATCGCCGGCACCGGCAGCCGCGCCATCGTCAAAGACGTTCTCCTTAGAAAAAGCAAAGACTGACACCGCCGCGATCGCACAAGAGGTGCAGGCCGCTGCAGATGAGCAAACCTTGAGAGATTTGTTCGGCAACGGTGCGTAGCCTTTAGAAGTATAGTGAGAGATATCTCACGCACGATCGTGTTTTCCTCATTTGCCTTAGTGAAAGAACATTTAAACATCGTCTTTATCGGCCATGTCGATGCCGGCAAGAGCACGATGGGCGGGAACCTCCTCTACATCACCGGGATGGTCGACAAACGGACCATGGAAAAATACGAGCGTGAAGCTAAGGAAGCCGGTCGTGATTCTTGGTATCTCAGCTGGGCTCTAGATTCGACACCTCAAGAGCGAGCCAAAGGAAAGACCGTGGAGGTCGGTCGTGCCTACTTTGAGACCGCTTCAAGACGATACACAATTCTAGATGCTCCCGGACATAAAACTTTCGTGCCGTCCATGATATCTGGTGCTGCGCAAGCCGACGTCGCTATCTTGGTCATCTCCGCTCGCAAGGGTGAGTTCGAGACCGGGTTCGAAAAAGGTGGGCAGACGCGTGAACACATCATGTTGGTCAAAACCGCCGGCGTAACAAAGGTCATATGTGTCATAAACAAGATGGACGAGGCTACAGTAGAGTGGTCGAAAGCCCGCTTCGACGAGATCAGGGAAAAGCTCACGCCATTCATTCGGGCTGCCGGCTTCAGTGTGAAGACTGACGTTAGCTTCATACCTGTGTCTGCTTACACGGGCGTCAACCTGAAAGACCGTATACCCAGGAATGTATGCACCTGGTATGAGTGAGTGTTCGGCGCGCTGTCTATTCACAGGCCTATAAATTGACCTCGATCCTGGTAGAGGACCATCGCTTCTCGAACATCTGGATACCATGCCGATGGTAACTCGTAAGGTCAACGCTCCGCTAATGATGCCTATCTCCGAGAAATACAAAGACATGGGCACCGTCGCCGTTGGAAAATTAGAATCCGGGCACATGAGCAAGGGAGATACTCTCATGCTAATGCCGAACAAGGACGTGGTTGAAGTTGCTGCGATCTACAATGAAATGGAAGACGAGGTACAGAATGCCGTCTGCGGCGACAACGTGCGCATCCGACTGCGGGGCGTTGAGGACGACGACATTTCCCCCGGCTTCGTGCTCACGAGTCCAAACAAGCCGGTTCATGCAGTGCGCCAGTTCGAGGCGCAGTTGGCGATTCTCGATCACAAGAATATCATCTGCGCCGGATACTCGGCAGTCATGCATATACATACTCTGGCGGAAGAGGTCACACTCCCGGTACGGCATTTCACAATTTTTGGCGACAAAGCATACCCTGACTTGCCCTAAATAAGGCCCTTTTACACTACTTCGACAAGGCTACTGGTCGCAAGTCACGAAAGCCACCGCAGTTTGCCAAGAGAGGTGAGGTTCTTTGTTTGGCTTCTGTGAGATGTCTAACGATCTTTCCCGTAAATTATAGGACAGAAAATTGTAGCACTCGTCGAGACACAGCAAGCTGTTTGTGTCGAACGGTTCGTCGACTATCCTCAACTGGGGCGGTTTACTCTGCGAGACGAGGGTTCGTGTTTATTTGCGCCGTAGTGGGATATTGCTGACATTCAATGTATGTCTACACAGGGAAGACAATAGCCATCGGCAAGGTATCTAGTGCGACTTCGGGCAGGCTCATCCGAATCACTGAAATATTTTTACTTATATCAGATCACGAGATTAGTGGAAGGAATACCAGAAGAAGTCGTCGATGGTGTGGGCAACCTATCTGTCGGAGGAAATGCCTAGATATCACATGTATAATTACTGATTGCTACATGCCATATAACGAAACATTGACGAAGATGAGATTATAGATAACCGAGTCAACACTACGCGATCACGTATAGGTCCTGGGGACAGTACAGAGAATGATAACCCATCAATATCAAAACGAGGCAAAAAGATGCGCGATAAAAATAAATGACCACCGCAGGGGTCGAACCTGCAATCTCCTGATAACTTCGAAATCGTAGTCAGACGCGATGCCATTTCGCCAGGCGGCCCACATACAAGGACAGTTTTACCCCCAAATAGCTGCCTTGCTCCATATTTCCTTTAGTATTTGCCCCCAACAGTCATCCGAGAAGATCATTTGTTTGACAGTGACCGTGGTGGTATTAGGGTCAATGATTGATATATTGACCCTTTTATTCGTTGCGAGACCAAATGGATCAAATGGGGGCCAGCCCTAGGTCAACAATAGCGAGGGTCGATGGTCAATGCGTGATCACAGAAGTCAGAGTCGATGGTACTCGGCCGTTGGCTAGCTTCTGGCTAGTCCTGGGGTTAGCCCAATGATAGGTCTGACGTCTCCAAAGTCAGTCACGCATCGACTCCAACCCCATTGACTGAGTCTGGGTTTGACCCAGTTACTGAAGTTGTTGATACTCTTCATCTTGCAATGGATGGATGCTAATTTTGCAACAACTTCAAAAACCATGACGTTCATAACGTAATATTATGTACGCGAGCAGGCTGTTCACTGAAAAATTGCGGATATACGGTGGACAAACAAATTTGTTGATGAATCAAATTCATCAACAAAACAATAACATGACCACCGCAGGGGTCGAACCTGCAATCTCCTGATTACATTACATCGTAGTCAGACGCGATGCCATTTCGCCAGGCGGCCGATGCATATATTATCAAGGGTATAGTTCATGTACATGAATGTGGATCAATTCAGTAGTAGCTGGACATAAATCAAGAACCATTCGCCAGCCTCTGCTGCATTTCCTCCGACCAGAGAATAATATCGTCCTTTAGTAGTTGCAATATCATTAGCGAGTCTTCGAGACTCTGCACCGCGTACGACGAGTCTGACGCAGCTGCGACTGCATCGTCCAAGGCATGCTTCGCAAGGAAACATGCTCGCTCAGGACTATGGCATATGTCGTGATAATAAACGGCAAAATTGAGTGCGAGGCCTAGACGCGTCGGGTGCGTGGGGTCCAGGGTCACCAACGCGTGTTTGTACGCGAACTTGTACGCGTCGAGGGATGTTGTGGCATACTGGTCGCGTGTTTGATTCCGGGTCATCTCCGCGAGATAGCGATAGTAGTCGCCCCGCCTGCACGTTTATAACGTTAGAGGCATCACGAGCGGACAGGGGGACGGACGCGGGTACTTACATCTTGCAGTAGAAGACTTTCTCTTCACCCGGATTGGCGGCGGGAATAAGGAAGCGTTCCAGGAGCTCGACGACGCCTTTGCAGACCTCGGTCAGATCGTGTTCTATCTGCTCCTTCTCGCGACGCATGAGCGTTTGTTGCTGTCGGGAGGCATACCGACCCTCTCTCTTCTCGACAGTGTCGATATTGCGCCAGCTAGAGCGGTGCGTTGCCGTGATATTCTTGTAGGCGATGGAAAGTAGATTGCGCTCTTCAAGAGAGAGCTGTGCATCGGTGTACGTTATAATATACTTCAATTGAGCAATAACGTCTAGACGAGATGTCGTCAATGCGGAACGGATAAATATGAAGTGGACGGACATACCATCATATCGCTCCGCTTGATCTGCTATGCGTGCGATGAAGAGAGCATCGTGTCTCGCCTGTATTACGTTCATCTAAGAAACAGAATCAGCTCTCGCTCAGCGACCGCCACACTCGTGGCTTACTGGAGACATCTCGGCAAGGAGAGGAGGTGATCAGGCGGGATAGGCGAGTAGAGAGTTATATATCGTGAGGCGGCGTCAAGATACAGGCAGGCCACGCTACCTGGGCATGGGGGAACATGCGACATACAGCAAGCGGCGGCGAAGACATAAGCACGGGAACTGAGTGTGGTACATAGCAGCCAATCATTTCAGCAGGGTTCGGGGTTGTTCGAGCCGGCTCGGTGCTGGGTAAAGGGCAACCATCGTCGGCGGGCGGCTGGGAGAGAGCAGGAGACACAGCGCCGGGAGCAGGGGCGAGTCAATGGAGGCGAGGGGACACTGGACGATGGTCAGGCCAACGAGCGGCGCACGCACTGCGGCAGACAGAGAGAGGGTGCGGCGAGGGGCAGACCCGCACGCAAGTGATCGGCTCGGAGACAGCCGACTGATTAGGCTGTCCGCAGGATTAGGAAGGTTTGCCATTCATCTCATCTCATCCGGATAATCCAGATTAATGCGCCCCCATATTCATTTTAATAGAGGCATCAAGGAACAATGAAATAATGACCGCCGTCTCTAATAGTACTGCACACACTCAATCACCATAGAAGTTCCTGGATTGGCCTGTCGATCCTGCCGTGGCTTATGCTGTCCTGCAGCGAGTTCAAAGACGGCTTCATCTCATTTCCGTGTGCCAGCCAAGGCGGTGGGTTTCTCAATCGCCAGATGACCGCACGGGTGTTGGTTGCGACAGAAGCCCCCTTGCCCTAGGTACATACCCAGCTTATCTGCAAAGACTCCCAGCTTCGTCAATCAGTTTTCAGCGTCAGGTGCCATGTCTCTTGCTGAATTTCATCTCCGGACTTTGGGTCATCGCTAAAACTTCACAGATAGGATCCAATAACGATACACACGTTGTCGTTACATATCATCGTACAGTGCACTTCTCATTCTTCATTCCGGTGGTTCTGTTTACCACCCCATCTGCTCGCGTGTCCATCCAGATACCATCCCCTTCTCGTCGACCGCGTTGCACAGACGTTGCCCGCGGTCAAGGCCACTGATGCGCGCGAGATCCTCTGCCTCCAGCGTGGGCAACTTCCGGGCATTGCATCAGCATCACGTATCAGCACACGGGCAAAGGGAGAGGCGGCTCACGTTCAGGTTCTCCTTTTGCCGCTCTGCGTTTGAACTCTTCGGGACCACAACGACGCCGCGAGAGAGGTGCCACGCGAGGACGATCTGAGCTGCCGAAACCTTGTACTTCCCGGCGAGCTCCACAATCAACGGGTTTGTGAGTGTGTTGCTGTACCCTGGGCTGTGTCAATAAACATACCGGAGGGCACTGCGACACGAACATACCTGTGGGCGAGTATGCAGTGATCACAATGCCCTTGGAGGCACAGTATGCCCTGAGTTCTTCTTGGGCAAGAAGCGGGTGCATTCTGCAAGGTCAGGCGCAGGTGAGTTGTAGATTCTCGGTCGCAATGCAGACCGTCATCGTACTCACTCCACTTGGTTCATAGCGGGTACGATTTTAGCTGTAGCGAGAAGTTTCTCCAAGCTGCACAATTATCAGATGACCACTCGCTTCACGTGTAAACGCTGAACATACTTCTGGATAGAGAAGTTGCTCACGCCGATATTCTTCGCCTTGCCCTTGACGTATACCTCCTCCATTGCTGCCCAGGTTTCGGAGAAGGTGGGGGCCGACTCCCGGACTTTGATATCCCCCTGGTAAGCGGGATCCTCGCCTTTTAAAGTACATATCAGCCACCTATTACCCTAGCGTGGTTAACTTTCATGAGCTTACCTGGCCAGTCAATTACCTGCGGCCAATGAAGGAGGTACTGTAATTTGGTCAGGATCACAAATCAATACTTTAAGGAAAAGTGAACAGCACACACCAAGTCAACATAGTCTGTTCCAAGCCTCTTCAGACTGTCATCCAGGGACTGTTCTACCGTCAGAATCCCGGGGTGGTTCCACCTACATCATATCGTCTCACGTCAGAACATAGTCTCCTGACCAAGCACATGAGACCTACGGCAGCTTCGTGGTAATCCACACTTCTTCGCGAGGAACTCCCGACTGCTTGATCGCCTCCGCCACATACTTTTCAGTTCCTATAATAGATGGACGGTCAGCGTTACAATTCTGCTTCAGTTGTTTCGACAAGCATACCATAACCCCATGCTGTGTCAATGTGGCGATAGCCCGACTAGAAGGTAGTAGACTGCTCAGAGCTGTGAAAGAATGTGTAACAAGAAGCTGTGGCACCTTCAGCGCAGACAACATCCACGGAACTGCTTTGGCGTGCTGCTCTGCTGTTACTCCCGACCATCCCCCCAAGCCTGTGTGAAAGAATGTTATCGTGAAGGGCTAGGGGCATTATCGATGTCGTCCCTTACCGACGGCGGGCAATTCTGCACCAGTGTTTAGCTTGAATTTCGGGACCGGTGACATGATGGGTGGATATCAGACAATTACAAGAGAAAACATTGATACACCTCGCGCTCTTATATGTCTGGCGGCAGCCCAAACCCGATTGATTATCAATAGTACATGCCGAGGGTGTTTGGGAGAGTGTGCCTCGTGATGAGGCGGTCGTCGTCGGCGGACTACGCGTGATCAGACAGACTGGGCAGGGTCTCGCTACTTTCCTCTTCGGCATCGAACCAACGCTCCTCCGCATCCCGATCATTGTCCGCGTCCCATGAGTCATCCCAGTCGACCTTATCGTAATCAACGGACTGCAGATAATAGTGGAGACGATGGTGACTAGATCGCTCGGGCTCCCCACATGTCGTAGCAAGCGCACCTCGAGCAGTCCGTAGATGAACCGTTCTTTGATTTTGCGGAGGAACAATGTCCGACTGTCTTCGTACGGCTCTTCTTCGTCGGGCAGCGGCAGCGGCTCCTCTCCCTCCTCCTCGTCCGAGCTCTCGTCTTCTTCGGGCAGCGACTCGAGCTCCTCAGCCTGCGCCCGGCGGAGGGATCTGACATGCTCGGCCTCGCGCTCCTCTTCGTAGCCTCCGAGCAGCATGCCCAGCTTGCCGACGTGTGGCTTCAGACTGCTGCCCAGGAAGAATTTCTCAGCCCACTCTCGCTCGTCGTCGCCCCGCTGCTGACCGGGCCGCTCCCTCCCAGGCCACAAAGTCGGCCAATTGGCCTTTGCCGATTCAAAATTGAGTTCCTGGGGGTTGGACGCAGTGTACCTCAGTCGTCTGTTTCGTATTGCGGGAATGGACGAGCGCTGCTTGGGAGTGGTCGTGGAAGAGAACTGGGGCAGCAGCTGAGGGGGCAGCTGGCGGAGATGGGCAGCGAGAAACTGTAGGGGCTGAGTATCTGGGGAGGGCTGATAATCCACAGGGAGACCGAGGTATGAGAGCACCGCAGGCGGTGCTGAGCTCGTCGCCGATGCTGCGTCCATCGTCGTCTTCCGAGTCGTCGTCGTCGTCGGCTGAAGCTCAGACGCCCAGGCACATGAGATCATACTCGGCAAAACGTCGGAGTCCGCCCCAGCGTAATCTCCGGCGTCCGGAGCAGCGAGCCGTCTCCCCTCTCCCGAGCCCCGCATGGAGTCGCATTCGAACGATCCGCCAGTGCAGGACCAGGGCTCTTCCCCAGACCTTGTTCTCGTCGTCTTCATCCATGGGTCAGCGACCTCAGGCTCTTTCTAGCATTCTTTTATCCTCATCCTTTTGTGACCGCCCAGTTTTAAAGGAACAGACTCTACGTTCGCTGCATTCCCCGAACGACTTCAGCACATCCTCTCAGAAACAATCCAGAATGTGCTCGTCGAATGTGTAGTGTTCCCCGCATATGAAGTAAGCACCAGCATTTGTTTCTTGCGCAGTATATTCCAACCACACCGCAGACTAAGGGCGACCTGGTGAGCACAGGCTCTGGTCGACCTGGATGTCGCTAAGTGAGCTGCGCAACAGTCAGAGGCGGTCATTCGGTTCGCAGATTGGCTCACTACTCTCACTGTGCAACGTGAAGTTGCCAACGGCTTGGGAGGAGGAGCAGGAAAGGCCAGCATTGTCCTGTGCGGGCATAGGTCAGTCATTCTTCTCTCGTCTGTTGAGGCAAGGTATCGTAACGAAGAAATAGCATGGGCGGCTTGCTTGCGGCAGATGCTGTGATTGAATTTGTTCAAACACGCCCAGACCAGTCCGCGCCCCTCTGGCCAAGGATAGTTTCTTGTATTGCTCTCGATACCCCTGTATGTGACACCTTCCACTGCGTTGCACCTTGTACATTGACCTTAGTTCAGTACCTTGGTCTTCACCCGCACGTCTTCAAGAACAGCGCTACACAAGTCGTCTCTTACGCCCAGAGCGCCCGTAGCGCCTTCTCCAGCTTTCAATCATTTGCCTCGAAACAGACGACCACTACCGCAACTAGAGCCGCGATCGGTCCAGAATCTTCCGGAGCCTCAGCCTCGGTATCTGCCTGGCAGAAATGGGCCCCTGCGGCGTATGCAGTGGGCGGGGCCGTGATTGCTGGAGCTGCCGCTGGGGCTGCTTATTACAAGCGCGATGACCTTGGTGCAGGATACAAGTGGGCTACGGACCACATGAAGTACGTGGGCAATTTATGGGATGAACACACATTGCACAAGCGTCTGGAGAGACTACTGGCAATCGAAGAGCAGATGGGAGTACTCTTCAAAACGTCGGTCATCTGCTCGAGTTTCAGCCCTTTCATGGTTGCTGACCCCTGGGTTGTCGCAGGTTTTACACGCTTCTCCCACCGAAACCACCGTCGTATCCGTCGTCGCGCACGTTCATCGTCGTACCCCGAGAACCGCCGCAACTGGTGCAGCACTTCTCGCAAGCCGCTAATACGATCGCGGCAGATGAAATACAGGCCCATACCGGCATGTTCGATTCCAAGACTAATGACGGTTATTACGAGTTGGGACTTGTAATCGCACAGGTTATACAAGACGCTGTTGCGATTAGTAGAAGAGCTGTGAGCGGAGGTGGCGAGGTGGAAACGCAGTCCGAAGGGAATACCACAGGAGCGATGGACGATAAGGCTACCGAACTCCCATCTGTCAATGTTTCCTCGGATGACACAGAAGATCTCCTGCTGTAGATTCTGCACGCTGTATCCTTATTGTGTAACAATATGTGTACAAACCGGTTTTCACCGTGCAAGGTCCTTCAATGACAGGCGCATCGCATACGCGTCCTCTCCGTCCGCATCTAGATTGGTAAGCCATCGCTACTCAACGATGATGAATATACAACATAAGAGCAAGACACTCACAGTACTTCTTCTCGATGTCTTTGACTGTGAAGCCGAGCGTGTCTCTGTACAGCGCCAGTGCCGCTCTGTTCGATTTTCGTACGTGCAGCGAGACGTATGATGCCCTGAACACCGTCGCCATCGCCTCTTCTATAGGCAGCCATTAGTCGCTATAACATCAACCTGGTGAGTCGCAGGTAAGCCCGGAGAGGACGTACGCGATTGCACCATCAGCCTCTTCGCGAGCCCCAACCTTCTGTACGACCGCAAGACCGAGATGGACGTGACGTGCCCGTGGGCCTCCTCTTCCGACTCCGTGTCCTCCTCCCTGCCCACCCAGCATCCACATGAGGCGCGATCGCACAAGCACAATGCAGGAAGGCGCTCACATTTTCGCCAGGATGTACCCCACTATCCGCCCCTTGTTGTCCTCCGCGACAAACGAGAGCTGCGGCCAGGTCAGCGCATGGTACATATCTGCAGAGATGCGTCAGGATCCAGCACCGCGCACGGCTGCGCACGACGCACAGTACTTCATCGTGTAGTTTTCGGGGAGGTTCTGCAGGTTGCATGCCTGCATGCCGGCGAGGTCTTCTACCTAGCGTGAGTTAGAGAGTATATAAACGCATAGCAAAGAGATCTTCACCCGTGCAGGTCTAATATTCATGATGACAGCTTTGGATGGCTTAGGACAGAGTATTGCGCATGCGGGCGCGGCTTCAAGCTTCAAGCTATAACGTCGCCGCGTCGCGCCCAGCGCTTTATGTACATATCGATGCCAACTACAGGGTAATGGATCAAGTCACAATACTAATAGTATCCCTGTCATTCATGGTCTATGGACGGGGGGTATTGATGCATAGAACTTGTACAGACCAACAAAGCTTAGACGTTAAGTAAATACTGGAGCTGATGACAGTGTTACAATCCATAAGCGACAGAAAACAGGAGTCAATGTGCTATGAGAGCGACGAGGCAATAAGAAAAAGGCGACAGCGGACCTAGTGGCCATGTGAATCGCTGTCTCGACTAGTCGCAGGACCTGCTGCACCATCATGTCCATTCCCTGGACCTCTCCCATGACCAAAGAAGAAAGAGCTTGCGTAGTGTTCCGCAGCTGTGAAGGTGTTCCTAAGACTTCTCTTAACACTCCTTCCTCTCCCGTCCACTTCCCGATTGTCAAAAAGGGCTGACTGAGGTCCAAGGGCTGAGTGTATGGACTCTTGAAGTTCCCGCGTCGTTGGCGAAGAGGAGAGTGACCGCGACTCCTCCTCCTGCTGTGCGGGTGGTACCCAAGCTGGTATCTCAGACCGTCCCGCCCCGTGCTGATATGAGTTGGATGAGTCCACCAATATTTGCCGAGAGTCGTGAGGATAAGCCAGCCGTACATCACCATCGCTTACTGGCAGACGGAATCCACTGGTAGCCGGGTATGAGGAAGATCCAGTTGGTGCATACGCATATGGTGAAACGCCTGGCATCACCACGTACGGCTGCATCCCCGTCGATAGCTCGGGCACACGCCTGTGCGGAACCGGCATGAATACCGTGCTTGGTCCTGGGTCTGCGCCCCGCCCATGACCAATTTCAGCAAATACAAGGTCAGGCGTCATGACACTATTCCTTGCTGCGCCTGGTGATTCGACGTAAGCGCGACGAAAAAACGTTGTGCCACTGGAAGTCGTGCCTCCGCTACGATTCGAGACGGCCGATGCAGCATCACTGGGCGCTGGCGACGTAGAAGTCTCGATAATTGGATGTTGACCAAAACCTCGTGGTCGTCGTACGCCACCGTGAGGATCATGTGAAGGTGTTTGTTGACTGCGAATCCGAGGAACTACAGTACCTCCACGTTCCCGAGTCATGGCTAGCTCCCGAGCGATCGTGGGCTGGGTAGCACGAGGAGGCTCGTACTGCACGTTTTGGGGAGTCACAACGTTTGGTCTATACCCGCCACGGGAGACGACGACATTTGGATGACGCGTATAATACTCTATCATCGCGTCATCGTCATCTTCGTCGTCCTCTTGGTCATCGTCCATCGAGCCTTGTTCATCCAGATACTGTGGACGATATTCTTGTGAGCGCTGCCCATCCTCATAATCTGTCTCGTCGGCTTCGTTATTTTCCTCCGTAATGTGTGTAAATAGCTCCATGAGAAAATTGCGGAGATCTGCGACACCCTTCCCAGAGAAAACACAAAATGCTGCCCGCTGACTCGTATTGAATTCCTATCAAGTCGCGAGTCAGGTTGCATCAATTAGCATGCTCTGTCAACCCAGAAGAAAAACCTACCTGGGGAGGATCGCGGCAAAACTGCTGCACTTCAGGTCTAAGGAAGGCGGGGACTCCGGTGAGGCTCAAGTGTGTGAGTTTGGGGAGTTTTTGCAACAGGAAGTGCACAGACATAACGCTGATCTGATCGCAATATGAAAGGTGTATACGCTCAAGGGTCGCATGACGCTCCCCAAGAGCGTAGATGGCCTGGTCAGTAAGATTGCTGACGCGAACCAGTCCAATGCGCCGCAATTTTTGCAGGCTGGACAGCTCAAATACAGACATGTCGGTAAGTCGCAGACAATCTATTCGTACATCATACCAAATAAGAGCCAGGAGTACAGGTGATAGAAAGGACTTACTTGCGAGATCAATGTAGCGTAAACGTGTGCATGCTCGTGCCAGAGACCTGATCGAACGATCTGTAATCCCGCCAGCATGCCCCAAATGTAGATAATGGAGATGCTTGTCGAGGTTGCATATGCTTTCCACCGCGATGTCTGTGAGCTGGGTGCATTTCGCCAGAACAAGATTGCGTATCTTCGGTGCCACAGATATAATGCCTTCTATCGCATCGTCTGTAATCTGAGAGCATGCTGTGAGGTCCAACATCCGTAGATGCTCCAAATTCCGGGAGAGACGGAGAGGAGGGTGTTTCTCCTGCTGGAAGCCATTTCCAGAGACGGGGAATGGGTTTGGACCAGTGCCAAGAGGTGGTTCAAGCCTCGATGGCATGGGAAATGCGGCGTCAGTAAGTTCAGCACAATGGGAGAGACGTAATTCGCGCATTTGGGTCAGATGTGTCCAGATGTCCCGAACAGAAGCATCCGTTATCGACTTGCAGTTATTGAGATCAATCTCAAGTAGGAGAGGGCACGAGCAAGCCAAGGCTGTGACAGATTCGTCAGTAATAAGCTCGACATTGCTTAGCTTGACCCGGCGAAGGAGTGGACAGCTAGCAGCCAGAGCTTTGATTGATTTATCCGTCAGTTTCTTGCATCCGCCTAGATTAATTCCCTGCAGCTTCGCGGTTGATGCGGCGAGAGCAACGATGGACCTGTCGCTAACCTCGGTTACACCGGTAAGATCGAGCGCTACGAGGTTGGGGCAAAATGGCAAAACGCGGGAGAGGCCATCATCGGAAAGAGAGCTACAGTTGATCAGCGTGAGACGCTCCAGCCTCACGCAATGTGCGAGGCGTGAAAGCAAGGTATCGTTTAGCTCGCTTCCGAGGTAAAGGAAATTGAGGCGGCGGATAAAATGTGCATAAAGGAAGGTTTGGTTGGCCCGAGATAATACGCGCATCATCTTCACTAACGTGTACAGCTTCGTGACATTGGGTCGATACCACAAAAGCTCCACGGAGCACTCGCACCAGACGCGGGAGACCAGCAGGGCATGGTAGAGGTCGGTTGGGGAGTGAAGGTGTTTTAAAATGTGGATGAGAATTTCTGGTGGTAGGGTCGATGCTAGAGAGTGGGGGGATGAACTAGAGACGTGAGGAACGGCGTGGAGACGAGTCGACCACTGAGCGGGAGTGATTGACAACTCTGGAGGCGCAAAAAACGCAGACTTATTGAAATCCTCGTCTTCATTGTCAGATGCAGTTGTACTGGACTGGGCTGGCGACGGGCTCCTGAACATTGGAGATGGAGGTTGTGGCGATGGACGTCGTCCTCGTTGTTGCCGACAATGGAGAACAAGGTGGCACGTGTGCTTGACGACACCCCTAGTTAGGTGGCTTAGTCAGCAGCTATCTGCTCGATCAGTCCGCTCAACCAAAGCCGCTCGATGCAGTCGCTGCGCGAAATCTGCCGGTCTCTGTCATCTCCATGTTTGGCAGCTTGGTAGCCTCATCTCACAACTTCAGTAGAGCAACCAGACCCCACCCATCCCTACGATGACACCGGCCGCTCCCAGCTCGTCGTCTTTCGAGCACAGACTCAAATCCGCACACATGCCTCCGCCTGGCCCAGCCTACTTCCATGCGCGGAGAGCACTGTGGTCTGTTCCAAGCCCCAACCCACCCAATCCTACCGCGCATACAAGACTCGAGCAGATCCTGAATCAGGAAGGCGTGCACGAAAACGATGAAGTATGGGATGCGGGGCTGGCAACGATCTGGCGTGGCCTCACGAACCGCACGCCACTCAAAAAACGCCTATCGCTCAATATGACAGTTCGTATAATCAGACGATCTTCAGTGCTGTCATTGAATTCGGGTCCCATTGCCACATTTCATAGACCAAGATTCTTATGTGTGGCTGGATTCGAGATGGAACATGGCCAAGAGGCGCGACGGCGCCCCACTCAGACGATGAACAGGACGATTTGCCTGCAGATGCGAAAACCTATCCGTCCACGATGTCAAATCCGCAATCTGACGGACTGTAGTGCTCCCATGGTCAATGGTATTATTCGTCTTCTATCAAGGATGGAGTGTTGAACGGTGATCGGATATAGATTTTTCGAAAGCAACTTACTAGTGACTGGTTTCGCATCATTATATTTTCATAACGTATGGCCAAGTTGTTACTGTACCAAACTACACCATCGGCAATCTGTGTCGATAGCCTATGCCTACGCCGAAAAATATATTGGCGTTGAAAGTGCTTAAGTTCGCGAAGGAGGCGACACCTGAGCGAAGGCAAATAAAAATCACATTCAGTATGACACAAGGAAGAACACACCAAAATCACGCCGTCTCCTCTGACGAATAGCATCTCCATTTTCCTCTTCGCAACCTGGGGAACGACAGGAATTAAAGTCATGTCGAAGGAATGCGAAAGTTAGACCACACATTTACAGTCCCTTTCCCTTCGGGTGCACCTTCGACTTGATCAACGATCATAATAGTCTCTTCAACATCACTTAGGATTAGATTCATGTGTCCATCATAAGCCTGTATGCAGGTCGTCAGTGTAGAATGGGCGATAATAGGAGCCAGCGCACATGCAGAACACCAGTCAATTCGCGATCTCCGCGCAACTTCACAAAGACACGTTCACTGAGCGAAAGCCTAATCAAGTCAAAGGGCTCCTGGATGCCAGAGGAAGCCGGGTCCATGTTTGCATGCTATGAGCAAGCTCGGCGCGTCCTAGAAACTTAAAAGACCGCGCGCTTGAAGTTGACGGAAATGGAATGTGCATTCACGTGACGTGATGAGCCTTTCGACCTCCGCCACAATTCCGCCACTGTGCGCGCGCCTTTCCTCTAGACTCCTCGCTCGTCTCGCGCCAACTGCAGAGATGCCAGTACGTTCTTTCTCACTACAGTCTTGTACTTGCCGCTAAATCAGCTCACATAGAAACACTACTGTGACTATTGTGATGTTTTTCTGACGCATGATTCAGCTTCAGGTATGCCAGCTTCACACTGCGGTCTTGAAGACTTCTCATTCTCTTCAAACAGTTCGCAAAGCTCACAACAGCGGCCGAAATCACCTCGCGAACGTTCGGGATTATTATGCATGTATGTTCATATCTTATAGTCAGTGTTTGATCACTCACCACTACTCATGCAGCACTCGGACATGACAAGGCCCAGAGCATCATTGACCAAATCACAGCGGCCTATGAGTCGAGCGGGGGTCCTCCTCCCGGAGGCTTTGGCTTCGGTCCTCAACATCTAGCGCCTCCACTCCCTGGTTTCGGTGGCCCACCCCCGCCCATGGGATTTGGAGGGCCGCCTTTCGGTGGTCCTCCAGGACGTAAGTTGAGTTGATTGGCTGTGTAGCATACACTCATCTATAAATCTTCAGTCCCGCCTCGACCGCCATTCCCTCCTGGGATGCCCCCTCCCGGTATGATGGGTCCACCAGGTGGGCCCCCCTTCCCACCGAACGGAATGCCTCCCCCTGGTATGGGACCTCCAGGTATGCATGGACCAGGACTCATTTATCTATAATTTTCATCGTTTTTTCACTTGCTTGACCCTGAATTTGTAGGAATGCCACCCTTCCCTCCTGGTGGAGGTCCTCCGGGTGGTAATCGGCCTCCATTCCCTCCGGGCGGCAATATGCCCCCTGCCCCCCCAGGCGGAAGCTTTGGTGGACCGCCAAATGGTTTCCCTCCCGGACAAGGGCCGCCACCACAAAACGGGGATCCTGGCTCTGGAGTGCCAGGAGGTATGCACCCCGACAGGATGAGAATGATGGGAGGAAGGTAATGCTCCCATTGTCCATGGATTTCCGTCTGGTGTGATCATATGCTGGTGCTGCTGTTGCTTTGCCTATGGCATAGTGTCTGTCTTCTATTACTACCTGTATCCACCAATTCGATTCAGCTTGTTCAGATAGCATATGAGATTGACATTACCAGCACTTTTTAATCCGCAGGCTCTCACTTCAGGATATACGCTTGGGTGTGCTGTCACGTTCGGTAGACAAAAGAACGCCTGCTCCTTCCTCTAGTGTACTTGATAGAACACATTAGATGAATTTCTAGCTTGCACTCGCGAGCGCCCATCGCGGTACCGGCTAATAAGGCGAGGGTGGGCCCGTTAGGTAATCCCTCCTTCATCGTTCAATTCCACTTCGAGTCATCATCGATGCTGCAAGCTGGAGATTTTATCGTTTCACTCGCCTTGGGCATTATAACCCATGAATGAAGCTACATAGGCTCTGGACCAGATTTTACAAGACGTACGCGACATCCAGCTCCCGTTCCAGCATGGCGCACGCGACGAAGGTTCTCCGGTGCGACTCCTCCTCCATCTCCTTCTCGGCCTCGGATGAGCCCCGAATATCTTGCACCGACACACAGCAAGCCATCCGCCGTGCGGCTCAGCTATTAAATGACCTAGAGACGGTCGCATTCCCGACGGAGACGGTGTACGGGCTGGGAGCTGTAGCTTTGGACTCGACGGCGGCGGCACGAATATTCGCCGCGAAGGGCCGTCCTCCAGACAATCCTTTGATCGTCCATGTCTCCTCGGTGAGTATGCTGCACAAGCTGCTGCCGGAGGGGTACACCATTCCTCTAGTATACGACATCCTGATGAGACGTTTCTGGCCCGGCGCACTAACCCTCCTCTTTCATACCAACCCTTCAATCGTGCCGTCCATTGTTACTGCCAATCAACCGACTGTCGCAATCAGGATGCCCTCTCATCCAGTCGCGAGGGCGCTCATCGCCGTCGCCAATGCGCCTATAGCTGCTCCGAGCGCAAATTCGTCGGGGAGACCCAGCCCGACGCGTGCCGAACACGTCCTCAGGGACCTGGACGGCAAAGTTGGCCTGATTCTTGACGGAGGTCCCTGCGGAGTCGGCCTCGAAAGCACCGTGGTGGATGGGCTTCACGAAGATGGGAACATTCGCGTCTTGCGCCCGGGCGGGGTGACGGTGGAGGATATCGAGGACGCTATGCGGGAAGAGATGGGCGGTAGAGGGACGGTACCACAGGTTCTAGTCCACCGTCGAGATTTTCGGGACGAGGCCATTGAGCAGGCCCCGACGACGCCAGGGATGAAGTACCGACACTACTCACCCGCCGTTCCGGTCGTCCTTCTAAAGACGTCTGCGCCTCCATCGCATGAGCATGCGATCGACGTTGCCTCCCTACTGAAGTCTCTTCAAACGCGGACTCCATCTCCCCAAAATCCGTTGCGGGTCGGTCTATTAGTGCCCTCTGATTCTCCCGTCATTTCCAGGATGACTGCTTTCGATGGGATCCAGTGGGACCTCTTTGCACTGGGTTCCTTGTCAGACCCTTCTACATCTGCTCAGCGCCTCTTCGATGGGCTGCTCACCCTGGATGCTGCTGGAGTGGACGTGATACTTATTGAGGAGCTCAGGGAAGAAAGAGAAGGACTTGCTATCATGAACCGTGTCAACAAGGCTGCCGGCGAAACCGTGTGGCTTACGCTCTGATCACTCGCAACCTTTAGGTACGCGGATTTGTCTATATGGGCTGCATGGAGTAATGATGTCCGAACTATGTCTGCCTAGATAATATATACGTTACATGCTCACTAGAATATATACTAGCTTGGCTCGATGCGGTCGCATTCATTCGGAATGACAGTGTTCAACCTCAGGCGCTCAAGACTCCCCGGGATCCGGGGGAGCTTCTGACAGACGTTGTGCCGTGAGTGTGCCAAGAGCAGCACCTCCCGGGATCTCGAGGATGTTGTCTGTGTCAATGTTGATTGCACGGGGAACAAGAATACCCAGATTCCGGGGAACTGTAACGTATAGTGTTTGAACCCAAATTCGCGGTGAATCTCTCGGAGGCTCCGTCGACCACTTGCTTTGTGGTCATTGAAAATGAGATTGAGCGCAGCATCTCCTCTGTAATCTCCAGCTTTGATTGTCCAGACAATTAGAATATATATGTTTCCCGTTCGATGAGGCAGCCTGAAGAATGATTCGGCACGGGTGGCTGATGAGTCCGAGAAAGCCGGAATCGACGGGGGCAGACGCCGCGCAAAGTCCTTCACCCGACTCGTCCACCTCGGAATGAAACGCTTTGATCTCTCCACAGACGACCTCTTGCGCCTCCAGGAAGGCCATCCCACAAAGAGGCCTCGCACGCGGTTGGAGCAGGAAGATGTCCTTCTCGACGAACAGCAAGGGTCGACCTCATCCGCACATTCTTCCAACTCGGAGGACGGGTCGGACAGCTCTGAGAACGAAGATGAACTTGAGCAAGACGTTCAGTCTGACTTGGTCGACACCACAGAAGACCGCTTCTCATCGTCTAGAGTTGCCTTCGTCTCCAGAGCCTCCAATGTCGCCCCGCGCGAAGCGCAAAGTTCTACAAAACCTTTGCCTTCGACGTTTGCTTCGCTCGGGATCTCATCTGCGCTCCTTTCCGCATTGTCAAAAATGTCCATTCGTTCTCCCACGGAGATTCAAGCAGCCTGTCTTCCACCCCTACTACAAGGCAAGTTCTCCAATCGCGTGATTGAACCCAGGCATTGACATTTTTAGCATCCAAGGTAGAGACTGCATAGGGAATGCGAAGACAGGGTCCGGTAAAACCATCGCGTTTGCCCTCCCTATCCTCCAAAGGCTTGCTGTCGACCCTTATGGCATCTTTGCGCTGGTGCTGACGCCCACACGGTATGCTCGTATTCAACGCGGTATGTGGATGTAGCCGTCTGACTGGCCCTTCAGTGAGCTTGCGTTCCAAATCTCAGAACAGTTTGCCGTCCTCGGATCTGCCCTTAATGTGCGCACTGCTGTCGTCGTGGGCGGCATGGACATGATGACACAGGCTCTCGAGCTGAACAATCGACCGCATGTGGTCGTCGCCACTCCTGGCCGGATAGTCGATCTTCTGAAGAGCACCGCAGGAGAGTGGGACCTCTCACGCGTGAAGTTTCTGGTATGTCTTCGTTCACTTGCGGCTTGATGGGAGCTCATCGTCTCCAGGTCCTCGATGAAGCGGATCGGCTGCTGACACCCACATTTGCTCCTGAGCTGTCATTTTTATTCGATGCTCTCCCGAAGGAACGACAGACGTGTCTATTTACAGCCACCTTGACTCCGGCAGTCGAGAGCGTTGCTCAAGCGCCCCCCAGACCGGGCAAGCAAAAGCCTTTCATACACAGAATGGTGGAAGCGTAAGCTTATTCTAACGGACAAATTGATGACCTATCATATTGAGTGATCCCCGCAGCGTCGAGACTGTCGATACCCTCCAGCAACACTATATCCTCGTCCCGTCGCATGTCCGCGAGTCATATCTGTACCACCTCCTCTGCAATCCCCCCGAATCCATACTCCCCTTCCGGCGCGCACCTCCAGAGCCTACAAAGGGCTCCAAGAAGCCCCAGGCAGCCTCCAAATCCAGAACAAAAAAGGGCAAGAGCAAGTCCGCCACAGACGACCCCGAGGCGATCGAGCAGCCACCGCCGACGATCATATTTTGCAAGCGCCCACGGACGGCCGCCTACCTGACGCACCTGCTGCAGACGCTGCACATCCGGAGCACCGCGCTGCACTCGCGGCTGACGCAGCGGGAGCGGCTCGCGTCGCTGGGCCTCTTCCGCGCGAGCGTCGTGCCCGTGCTCGTGTCGACGGACGTCGGCGCGCGCGGGCTCGACATCGCGGACGTCGCGCTCGTCGTGAACTGGGACATGCCCGACGAGCCGGAGGAGTACACGCACCGCGTCGGCCGTACCGCGCGCCGTGGGCGGGGCGGTGTCGCGGTGAGCTTCGTCACGGAGCGGGACGAGGAGCGAGTGCTGCGCGTGGAGGCGCGGATCAGTGCGTCTTGGCTGCGGCGTTGTGCTGCCGTGTTGGGCTGTTGCTGACTGCGCTTTGCAGAGACGAAGCTGTCAGAGATGGCGCTGCCGGAGGCAAAGGTTCTGGAGAAGTTGAATGCCGTCTCCACAGCGAAGCGGCTGGCGAACATGGTATGTGGCGCGCAGGCTAATGTTCGTCCAGAATGAGACCCTCATGCACTGCCTGTTCCTAGGAGCTCCACGACTCCAACTTCGGGAAGCGCGAGGAGATCCACAAAATCAAAAGCGCAAAGCGCAAAGTAGACGCAGTGAGCATATAGTGGTGTTCGCGCCTACGGAGCGCACGCAGACACTCAACGTCATCAAACGACGTCTGAGACCAGATGCACAGTACTAGAGCGTGTATGGAGTATGCGAATACAGGTGTGAACATAATAAGCAACCACAGACGACAGACAGACAACGGACATGCTGAGCTCAGTTGAGCATGTGGCATCGACGTCTCCGGGCGGATTGTACAATACTTGGTATCTATGGAATACGAACGCAAAACGTGTATCGTCTATGGGCGCAGAAAGTGATGACGGTTAGAGTACAACAGAAAACGTGGGGACGGCGGACGAACTACAGACAGCGCGTAAAAAATGAAAGGAATTATGCTCGAAAGGACTACCAATACACATGAGGATAATGGTACGACCAGTGTTTTTTTCAAAGCGATGATGATGACGATGCGAGGGAGGGGGTACGTGAATGCTGATGAAGAGGTGAAAAAGATAGTATCCGTACAATCCTTATAGCCGGTGATGGGCGAGGCTGGTCGATGCTGAATGAATAAGTTATCAAGGTTTGCAGCGTGCACAACTTTTCCGAAGGTTCAAATACCCTGCAGTCTTGTGATACCGCCTTATATGGTCCGCTGAAAGATACATACGTGATCAGCACCCCACATATCTACTTTGAGCACGCATGTACACACCTTGACGACGGACCATTGCACAATGAGTTGTTTGATTCGTTCAGCCAGCGTCTGTTTGCAAACGTCACAATTAAGATGTTCGGCCAGCGGGCAGAGCGCGTTTTCCATCGCACTCGTGGAGAGATCTGCACAATTGGCGCTCATTAATGTCGGACCTTATTAAGCACACAACTCCGAAAACACACACCTGGTCGTGCGTCCCATGCTAAGTATGCGGACGCGAGGGCCCATGCACGCGTGAGCTTTTTCTGCTCCGTAAAATCGCAATCGGGCGTGGGAGCATGAGGGTGTGGTGGGGGCAGCAAAAGGCGTTTAAGCGCATCTATACGGCCGAGGTGAAGGAAGAAGAGGCGCTTCAAGTAGACGGCGCCCATCCGGTGCGAAAAGTCGTCTGAGAGCGCTGGCAGCGGGTAGCTGAGTAGATGCGCGGAAACCGGTACTGCGAGCTCATAGAGATCGTGACGCGCCGCGGCGGAGTATATTTCGAGGGGCGCGATGGGCGCATGCGCGAGAATCAGCGCATATAGTGGTGTTGAAGGTGCGCAATACTGCGAGAGTGAGACGCCATACCGCCGCAATGAGTCGAGTGCGATGACAAGAGTTTCAATCGCTGGGGAGTAGTGTGCGCAGGAAACACTGTAAATAGTGTGGAGGATTACATTGAGTACAGGGGAGGGCTCTGGTAGGGGGATTATGGGGCCAATGTCGTCAGATAAGTTGATGCCCTTTGGGGCGAGGGCAGCCGTCTTGGAGGACTTTGGTGGAAGGAGGGAGCAGAAGCCATTGTCGGACGCGGCGAGCAGGTGGTGGCAGTGGACGTAGAAAAAGACGGCGTCGGAGGAGAGAAAGATGACGTCCGGAGGGAGATTATTGAGATTAGCACCCGGGAAGAATGTTGTAGAGACTGAGACAACAGCATTGAGCTCAGATGTTGATTCGCCCGGGGAGCCTTTGTTGGAAAGCTAAAAGAGTTGGAGCGTATATATGCGGTGCCGGGAGGGTGTACAGTGAATAGAGTGAGCAGCCGTGAACTGAGGAGGAAATATGTATGTGCTTACGGGTGGAGTGGGGACCTGAGAAGGAGGCGCGGAGAACGTCGTTTTTTCCGCTACGGGCCTTTCAGGAGCGGAGGAGTCTGGCACCTCAAAGGGCTCAGAGACAAACTGGAGAAAGTCCCACTCTGGATTTTCCATAATTTACGTGACAGTAAAGGGGGCAAGAGGCGTAGACGAGAATAGAGGGGAGCAAAGGAGGGTTAGAAGAAGACGAGGTAGGTGGAGAGGAGAGGAGGGAGAGGAGGGAGGAGGGGCGGGACGGGAGGAAGAAAGGAAGGAAGAGTGGAGAGAGGGAGAAATATAAGGCGACGGGCTGGAGATGAAGCTTGTACAGGATGGAGAAGGACTAGGCACAGTCAGCGGGCAGACGTCACGGCGAGGCGTGTCGCGGTTCCAACCATGGGGGCTGATCCGGCGCGCCCTCTCTCACCCCTCTCCAGCGCATTCTCGCCGCTGTCGACGATGGCGGCGACGGACTGCACGTTCTCGACGCCCCTTTGTGCCCTCGAGCTGTTCTGGGCGCAGGCTGGGAGGCCCATCTGCCAAGACAGCGCCCCGCCTTGCGTCCGCCCCCGCGCCGCCACCGTGCATGACGTCTCCAGATCCCACGATCTCGGTCTCTGTACTCGCCACCGCTATCGTACAGCCATGCAGCCACAAGAACCTATCACGCCTCTCCAACCCATCTCTATCCTCCAAGTTGCATGCCCCACAATTCTGCACACCCCTGTTTCTGTCAGCTGCCCCGTGCCGCATGGCGGCCACAACCGTTCTCCTCGACGACAGACCCGACCTAGGCCAGTCACCCCACCGCTATCGAGATTTCTCCTCCGCGAGGATTGCATCATTCAGCTCGTCCAATGGCGCAAGCTCTTTTTTGTCCACCAGGTCAAACTAGCCCGGCATTCAGCGTGCATACCAAAGATAACCAGCCCCCTGCGCACCTCGTGGACAAACAGAAAAAAGTGGCGGTAGCTCGTGTTCAGATGTGCTGCGCGCCGGTATCAGTTACACAGCTTCCATCTGCGTACAAAAACCCACCTTCGATCCCCAGCGCGCATACATGGTCAAAGTGATTACTGTAGACGTGCGCGTACACCCTGAAAAGCCTCCGGAATATAGTCCGTATCGTGTCCCGGAAGTTCTTAGGGAACGGCACGCCAATCCTGTTCGGGAAAATCTCCTCGTTGTCGAGCAGGCCTTGAGCCCAGTTCATGAGCGCGTCTACATACTCTGGAGCGGGCAGCTTCGTTGGTCGCTTGAACCGCACGCCGTCCTCCCAGAGATATTCGTATCTGCATCGGAAAATGAGGCAACATCGGCTGAAGCGGAGCACAGAACCGACCGTGGGCCCGCAGACATGATGGGGCACTGCGCAATGAATGAAATCGACACGTTACTGTTAGCGAGATCGCTGACGTACCTCCTGCGGCGTACAAAACTCCGTGATCGTCCCATATAGCATGTTCAGATGATTGAAGAAATCGACCGCTGTATGCTCCACGATGAAACGCCCGGCTATCGGGACAGAGGACGACACGCACCATGTACCGCGAGCCACTCGTTCAGATCCTCGCCGTCGGGGAGCTGTACCGCTAAGCGGAGGTTCCCCGAGCCCTACACGTTTCACAGTGTACCGCGGTGACTCTGCTGCCCACACGAACGAAACCAGACGTCGTACCAGCGTGGCCTCGGCATACTTTCGCAGCTGGTACTGCTTTGTGCCTTCTGGGACGTCCTTGCGTGGCTTGAAAGTGCGTGTCTTGCCTCTGCCGTAGTGGACGATATGGATTAGGCATCTCCCGCGAAGTAAGCATCAGTCACTGACAAACCGAAGAATGCCGACATGGTGAGAAAGAGTAAGCAGGTGAGGGTAGATAGTAGAGAGCCAGAGACTGAGGCCGTTGTGATCCCGACACGATAGGCGCCCAAGAGATCGCGCCCTCGCCCTGGGCCCCGCGCTGTGGGCTCAGTTAACCAGTCGTTCTCTGTGACTTCTCGCTCGGCGACATTTGCAACATCTAATCGACACGACGACAATTTTGTCAGTCTAATTTCAGTCTACTTGTGGTGAATGCAGCGGAGCTTCTATCGTGCCATTCGTCCTCTGCTGCTTCACTGCAGGTTCGCTTGTGGCGAATTTGCGTTCGGTTGTTGCAAGCACCCACTCTCGCGTCCCCGCCTACTCGTAGCTTGAAGTTGTGGGAAGCCTAGAATTGCTGCTGGAACAACCAGATACGAGTTTGGTGTGGTCGTGGCATTGACAGTAGTGATTACTCATTTTTTTCTTCGCAACATGTGGGAGTCCTGTTCTGACTTTTTATAGGACACATCTGCGCCAGCATTCCCGCCCGCTTTCCCCTACCCAAAGCCGCGGAAGCCTCGTGGTATCTGCTCTACGCTTCTACCCTCCTTCTCAGCATGATCCGAAGAGCTGGATGACGGACGTTATGGAAGCCACTAAGGGTATTTGTATATTGACGACTTTGCTTACGAAGATTCAGAGGTATTGGTCCGATAAGTACTGTCAAGCGGCAAGTGGAAAATGCAGGCAGTGATATCTTGCAATCCGACTCTTGCCTCCTCAGGCCTGTCAGATGACAGTGAGTGAAGAGACTTGGTCCCCGCAATGCATGCGCCATGGACTATGGACAGAAACGAACTAAATTCAAGGCATGCACTGACTTACACCTCTCTCCCCCCAGCCCGAGGATGTAGGCGCAACCAGTCTCTCGATACGATGCTGCACCGCTTGCGCCATGGTCTTGGAGGGCGCTGCAGTGTACAGCAGCCAGACGATCATCGAGGCGTCTCCCACGTCGATGCACAGGTAGCCGCTCCTGATTTGGTTTGCATTTTTCATGTCGGAAAAGCATTCGACATACCACTCCTGTATGGTTCCACCTTGTCTGCCGCCAGCTGTCATCTATGATGTCCGCGAGAAATATGACAAGGCCCTGCACGACGACTTATTGATGCGTTTTCTCGGCTTTGTGTTGAGTAGTAGCGATTATTGGCGAAGATGCAACCATGTTTTGACCCCGGATTTCTCCCTCTCTCGGTTTCCTTTCAGCCGTTGGCAGACTGGATAGGCAGTATAAATTGAGGCAGCTTGTATTTTGAATGTCGTGATTCTGGATTGTCGGATTGTCGGTTGCAAGTAGAACTTGAATATGCTCTGGCGAGATTTGGGTGAGATCAAGATGTAGATCTGCCCCGGCGGGCGCTACAGGTGACCCGGGGACTGAGACAGCTATGGATTGGACTATCCGGTGAGTATGCCTCTGGTAGGAGACTATTTATCTGAGTGCACCTCTGGCTATGAAATAAAAAGCCATCGGACACAACCCCTCTCAGATCAGTTTAGGCGTAAATAGCTTTCTGACTAATCGCCTTGCCCAACAAACTCGGGCTGGACTTGTAATTATGAGTGCAGCATGACTGACCAATCCTCACCATCGCACGCCATTATTCTCTACCCATCTCGTCCATTCCGGGATGAGGCTCCCACCCAGACGATGCAGGAGGATCTTGGTTTAGCCACGCCTGCCTCCGACAGATCTGACAAAGCCCCTCCGCGCATATATCAGGACGTCATCGGCGTCGCTTGCTCACCAATTTCCCCTCCAGCTACTCTTGATACCCACCATGGGACGCATCCTCTTCGTGTATACCTCCTGCGACAAGACTCTCACCGGCGCTCAGACGGTACATCCTCCCCTCCTCTCGTGTCCCTCGCCGCTCATCGATCTCTCAATAGGGCTGGTACCTCCCAGAGGCCGCACACCCCTATTACAGTACGCACCCCACACTGCCCGTTTACTGGGCCATAGATCTCACCTCATAACGCACACAGTACTCGCGCCACACCACACCGTTGACTTCGCCTCCCCGAACGGGCCCAACCCGCCCATCGACGAGTCGAGCGTGAAGATGTTCACAGACGATGAGAGCACACGCTTCCTGCAGGACGCAGTCGTGCAGGCAAAGTTCACCGCGGCAAAAAAGCTCGCCGATGTTGACTCCAGCGCGTACGACGCGATCTTCTACGTCGGCGGGCACGGCCCCGTCATCGACCTTGCGACGGATCCGGTGAACATCAATCTCGCGAATCAGGTGCGCCCATCTGGTAGTGCGTGTATGCGCCCGGGATGGCTGATGCGGCTCCGATGGTGCAGTTCTGGCGCGCCGGGAAGATCACCTCCGCCGTGTGCCATGGGCCTGCGTGAGTGTACTGTGTATATCCCGGAGGCACATGTTGATAGGCTGTTGCGCGTTCAGTGCCCTCGTAGGTGTCACGGGTTCCACAGGCGAGTCTATCTTCAACGGAAAGGCCGCAACTGGGTTCTCGAACTTTGAGGAAGAGCAGGTCGGAAAGGTCAAGGTCAGTGTGTTGCAAACTGGTCTTTTTCCGGCTACTTGTTGATCTTTCTTGCCCAGGACGTGCCCTTCCTCCTGGAGGACAGAATTAAGGCGCTTGGCGCAAAATACGAGAAGGCCGGAGAGCCGTGGGGTGTACGTCGTACCATTTGTTTGCATTCGTCGATTTAGCTGATATGTCCTGTAATTCTGCAATGATAGGTGAAAGTCATTGTTGATGGCAAGCTTATCACTGGCCAGAACCCCGCTTCGGCGAAGGGCGTCGGCGAGGCTATCCACAGCGCTCTTGCATGAACAGCATGGACTCAGAAGCAAGGAAGTTTCCGGTACTGTATCTGTACATAATGACGTGATTAGCGGTACGCGTTCGCATTCTCCTCATGTTGCGGCTCGCTTGTGTGCGATGAGATACGTATGCGGATACGTCATGAGAGACACCGTTCAATGGGCCCAAAGCAATAAAATTGGATTTACCGATAGTACAACACACATCAGATATACGCCACAGACATCACCCATCCTTTCTTTAGCGTGAAGCCATCCAGTGCTTCTTTTGCAGCAGATGCTAATTCTGGCGAATCGAATATGACTTGGGCCATTTTTACGTTCTGTCCGGCCGTATTTGGTGTCGGTGACTGTGCCACATGAGTTGATTGGAATCCCTGATATCTGGGAGCATCTCATTATCAGTCAGACTATCGCCGCTCCACGGAGCATAGGAACGCACTGTTGGAAAAGGACGGCGAGCACGTCGTCTGTGACCTCTTGGGGCAGGTTTGTGCACAGCAGTCTTGCTGACTGAGACTGGACGATCGCAGGCATTGCCCCTGAGGTTGAAGTCAGATTGAGTGGGAGCGGCAGGGCAAGATATACGCACCACCTGTCGACGTTTCCTTCGCACCATCATCATCATCCTCGATCTCCATCTCTTCATCGTCGTCGTCATCGTCTGCCGCTCTCTCCCTCTTCAGCGCCCGCTCATCCTCGTCCATCCTGTCATCCCTCTGCCGCTTTTCGCTGGACGCCGCTTGTGCGTTCGCGTTCTTCGTATGCACCGACATTGGCGGTACGAAGTTCGGGTCTTCTCTCTGCAGGGTCGCGTAGGACTTGGTCTTTGCGTACTCTACCCGCTGTAGCACGCGCGGGCACACTTGTCCATATCAACGACTTTCAAACGCAAGGCTTCTGAGATGGGTGGCGCACCATCGGCTTGTCATAAAACACGATACCTTCGCAGGCCCGCATCGCCGCGGTCGCTCCCGTCAGGTCGGCGAACACGAGGAACGCTTGCCCGCGCATCTTGGGGCCCTTTGCTGCAACGACATCGATGACGCGGCCATAGGTCGTGAACAGGGCGAAAAGTTGCGAGCGCAGCTCCTCCTTGTTGACCTTGTCGTTCAGGTTGTGGACGTAGAGCGTCGCGTTGGGCTGAGCGTTCGACATCGTGGTCGGCAGTACTTTTGGGGAGGGCGGGTAGATGTCCCAATCTCGGGACCCGGACTGGCATGTCGCGTTCCCACGGGGCAGAAAATGGTCACGCCGTGACGCTGCCTTCCCCGGATTGGCCAACCCTTCATGTAGGCGCCCACAGCAAGGCGGGGGTCACGTCACACGTTGCATTGGGCGTAACAAAAGCCGCCGTACACGTTCGTCCAATTTATGCAGACGCTGGGGTAGAGGTCAACCATCTGTTGGCTGTCTCCGTTCTGCACGTCCATATCCTTTTTGTGACAGCCGGCGTCGGGAGGTTTTTCCCTTTGCGTATGTTCTCTCATATTTTCGCGTTCCAGCTTATGTCTTATATCTGACACTGAGCTTCACAGCCATCCGCTCGATCGTAGACAGCTCGTCACGATTTTCAAAAACATAACGAACGCGCCTAGCGGACGTCTCATGATATTTTGACGTGGCTCACGTATACAGCAAGCACAATGAACACCGAACAGGCCCCACAATGGCTTTCGCCGTACCTTATCCCCTTCTTTACTCTATCATACCCGACGGCTGTCCCAGCGAACCCAGATTCGTTCCCAGATTCCTCGTATTACACAACAGGTCTTCTCGATGGCTGCCTCTTGATAACCCTCATCGCAATCATGGCCGTCTTGCGTGACGTGTTGCGCCTATGGGTTCTTGAGCCTTTTGCGAAGTGGAAGCTGACGCGGGACTTGAGGCTGCGAGCTTCAGCCAAACAAAAGAAGGCGAACGGGAATGGGCACAACGGCGTGTCTAATGGCAACGGGAAGGCAAATGGTGCGTCAAACGGCGAAGGAAAGTCTACGGCAGTCGCGAATGAGAATGGGCGTGCCCGGCGCGTGGTGTCGAACAGTAACGGGCACTCAGTAGGTGCCCAAGGCGTAATAATCTCCAGAAGAGAAGCCAAGAAAATGCACCGAAGCGTGATTCGCTTCGCGGAACAAGGCTGGCCTGTGGTCTATTATACTTTCGTATGGTCTTTTGGATTGGTGGGTCTTTGAACCTCTTCATTCTCTTTCCTCCGTAGTTTGACATGAGTCATGCAGTATGTACATTCCAACCTCCCGACCCGCATATTGGACCCAATAGACGTCTGGCTAAATTATCCTCATATTCCCATTGCTGGACCTGTCAAACTATACTACTCGTTGAACACCGCGTTCTATATGCACCAAATACTAATCATCAATGCGGAAGCCCACCGTCAGGACCATTGGCAGATGATGACCCACCATGTTATCACCATTTTCTTGATGATTGGCAGCTACTTCTACAATTATACGCGCATAGGATGTCTCATCATGTTGATCATGGATTGGTGTGATATTTTCCTCCCCGTGAGTATTGCTCTACTGCTGTGAGGTGAAGCTGATACTAGTCGCCAACTAGCTGGCGAAAATGTTCCGATACTTGTCCTTCACGAGGCTCTGCGACGCGACCTTTGTTTTCTTCATGCTTTCGTGGGTGACGACCCGCCATGTCCTGTTCCTCCTCGCCATCAAGTCTACATGGTCCGCATTAGACCTCTTTCCATCTATATGGGCGCCCGAGCGCAGCATTACCACCGAGGTTCATGTCACCTTCCTGAGCATGCTCATCACGCTGCAGGTATGGCGGTCTCCCCAGTAGCTTGGACGAGTCCGTTAACACGTATCGACAGTTTATTCAAATTTGGTGGTTCTGGAGAATATGCCTGGTCGCATGGCGCGTAGTATCCGGGCAAGGCGCGGAAGATAACCGCAGCGACGACGAAGAGTAAGTCGAAATAGTGCCAAGTATCATGGGTGGTACTCATCAAATGTCTACAGTGATGATGGTTCCTCAGGGAACGATTTGGAGAAAGACGAGTGACGCTCGCCTCTGTTGGGTTCTCCCGCTGCCCTTCAATACCAATGTTGACCTTGCTTGTTCACATTGTTGTAATGAATTTGCTTCATGTTATGATGACTCACTTATCGCTGGCGAATTTATAATCCTTGCTTGAGTATTAGTAGTATTAACATGCGATCAGCCCAATTTACAGTCAGAATACGCAGTAATTGCCTTATCGAGCGAATCGAGTGACCGGGTTGCGAGCGCTTGTTACTGTGTGGTCGCATCCTACATCTGCTCTACGCTGTGGCCGGGTTCCGGACTGTTATGCTCATTGCTTGTGCTTAAATACCTGTATCCACTTTAATTATCAAGATGATGGCAGGATTCATGAGCTACTTTGGAGGTCGTCGCGATACAAAGCAGTCGTCAAGAGATGCTATTGTGACGCTGCGGCAGCAGCTGCAGATGATAGACAAGAAAGAGGAACACTTGCAGAAGAAGATCGACGAGGAGTTGAAGAAGGCAAAGTCGAATGCTGTAACGAACAAGAATGGTGAGTGGTTTGGTATATGGAGTGCGGTCGGGTTTGAACCTACTCTGAATCTGCAACGCATGTTGGTCGCAGCCGCGACGGCAGCCCTGCGGCGCAAAAAGGCTACGGAACAGGAATTGGAACGACTGCAGGGGACACGCTTTCAGCTTGAGATGCAAGTGAACACATTGGAATCAGCAAGCTTCAATGCGGAGACCATGGCCGCCATGAAGAAGGCGAGCGGCGCACTGAGGGATATTCATGGCAAACTGTTTGTACAGGTGTTTAGATTGCGCAGACAAGACACGCTCATTTTCCGTTCAGGTCAATTGAAAGGGTCGACCAGACCGTCGCCGAGATTCATGAACAAACTCAGTTGGCGAACGAGATTTCGGAGGCTATCTCCGCGAACACATACAGTGGCGTGGAGATCGACGAGGTCAGTGTCCATGTTGCCATCGCCCAACTGGTCCATGTAACAATTCGCGCAGGATTCGTTGAGAGCGGAATTAGCTGATCTGGAGCAAGACGAGTTGAACGAAAGGCTCATGGGTGCGGATCACGTCCCAGTGCATCAGCCTCCAGGAGCGACAAGGATCGCAGATAGTAAGAGCTACCGTCTATTCCAATGTCCGTCCACACTCATTCTGGATATACAAGGCCGCCAACCTATAGCAGTTGAAGATGACGAAGATGCTCAGCTTAGAGAGTTGCAAGCAGCCTTGACTATGTAGTATACCAGATCAGATGTTCTCTTCCGTTTATGTCGTGTGTTCTGTTGCTAATAACCTCCATTATCTTACTACCCTGGGATCTCCCACTCGTGTCTCATTAGTGCTATCACAAACTCACCAGTCGACACATTGTACACTCCACATTCTGGTATCTTGTCAATTAGGTGACATTTTCTACAATAGAGGGATATGAGTGTAAAAGTGATGCAAGTTGTCCGTGTACGTACGTGCAGACGGAAGGATATACGCGATTACGATGTAAGGTTTATCGAACTTGAATTGATCAGTGGTCAAGTAGTATAATATGGATGCAAAGCGAGTTAAAAGCAGATAATTATGCAGTGACGCTACGACATTGACAAAACAATCCAGCAAAGTTATTGACCAATATCTTCCACGATGTCCTTGCAAGAATACCCAGATGTCCTATATGCACAAACAAGAACCCTCATTGATATTGTGTCATGAAAAGCCACGAATGCCAAGAACTCGTCGGACGTCCTTGGTGAAGCGTAATGAGTCGAGCACTGGTAACAAGTCCAGCAGCGCTTCGTCGTGAGGATCATGGGTCCAACCTTCTATGGGTATGCCATTGGCTACAAAATTTAGGCATGATCTTAGGTTTCAATCACACAGGAAGGGTGGAAGACGAACCTTCATTTACACTATAACAAATGGGAGAATTATCGATTAAACACACCCTCGCAAGGTCCGTCTCCACGACTGATAGATCCTTGGTGTAAGATCCACTTGGGAGTTGAGTACACGACTGGCACCCAGATCAGTCTCATCTTCTACTCTGATACACGCTGGATACATTCGCACTGACCTCTCTGAATAGGCGGCGAGTCAATATCCCTCTTCCGGCATCTAGCCAATCTATGACAGGATCGGCGTATTCTTGCATTGAGGCCGTGAAGATCACGAGTGTATACCACCCTGAGACCTATCTAGATAGTTACAACTGAGCGCAATGTCTTGAGAATATCACTTACCTTTCTGAGAAAGTAATCCACGAAAGGCCGCTTGTACACATGGTAGAGCGTGCTGCGTCCGCCAAGGACCACCTCGACTACATGACCTGCACCTTTATTACGACGTCCAAAGATACTTAGGCCCAACAAGCCTGAGCTGCTTGACGACATGGATGATATTGGTCTAGAGGTTGAGTGAATGAGCGTTTCGTCCAGATCCAGCACCAAAGTCTTCTGCAAATGCACAGGCGTTCTATGCGTTGCGGAGCCTGGTGTAGATGAGCGCGATGCGGAAGGAAGTTGTTGAGAACTCGCGGCAGTAGAAGTGGATTGAGATGCCGAATCGGAATCCACAGATGAGGGTATATCTGCAAGCGAGTGACTGACAGTGGGAGATATGGGATACGAAGGTGTCAATGCGTCTGGCGGAGGGAATGGCAATAATGGTAATGGAGGTGGAATTCGCTGTGGATGGTCTAATGGTACAGATCTCTCGTCCTTACTCTCGTCTTCAGTATCCTTCTCTTCCTCCTCCGAGGCGTCCTCTACGGCTACCTCATCAACCGTGCGTGCAGACGATTGCCCTGTGAGCGATCTCCAGGCAGAGCAGATGGCGTTCCAGAAGGACAATACGAGACGCGTGAAGAACAGGCTTCTGAGAATTGAGTTTGAGCCCGATATGGGCCGGATTGCTCTCTCGGATGACGAGAAGGAGGGGCGTCGCGAAGAGGGCTTAGATGGTGGTCGTGAAGGGGGTAGAGGGGCATTCCTTGTTGGATAGAGCAAGGGCTGGTCGACAGAGACGGCGACATCTGCAGGTGACGAAAGGGACCGCTTGATAGACCATGGCCCAGACGAGCCAGTGGGAAGCGGAACACGGAGGGACCTGGTCGACCACGACCGAAGTCGCCTGGGGTCCGCATGGTCTGTGTCTCCAGGGAGGGGCGGGGGAGATTCTGAGACTGGGGTGGATGGTGGCGCGCGGGGTGAAGCTAGCACGTCGAATTGGCGAGAGAGATAGGTCAGCGAATTCATCTGCGTCGCACCGACGCCTGTGGACGCCGGGGAGGACAGGCAATGGGAATAAACAGGACCGAGATGAATTGCGGCAGGTGTGGGACGAGGTCGCGGAGATGTCGATGGCGGGCGGACCACAAACGCGTGCAGCCGCTCAGCGTGATCGCTCAGACGCCGGCTGCTGCCACTTCACCACTACCATCGTCGACGTCCTTGGAAAAATAAGTCAATGCTTCACAGACGGCTCAGCGTACTGCGATGTTGCATGCGTCGGCATCAAGGGTAGAGTCAAAGCATTCACATACTGCCTCTTCGTTGGTCCTTGCAGTTACATTTAGGCGACAATACATTTCAGCAACAAAAAATCCTGGCGACTTTGACTAGTGATTACGACTGTTTCTGATGGTAACTGACTTGACATCCCTCCATGTCGTTGCGTATTCTTCCAACACTGCGAATAAATACCGCATATAGCCTGTCGATCTGAACCCATTCACTTCGCCGAAAAACCGTCCCGCAGCACATGACTGATACACCAATTGTGCATGTTCTTGCAGCTCGAGTACAGTACAGCCGGATATTAGTGAGAGACATGCCCGGCGACCGTCGCCGTTCTTCAACTTAGGCTCGGGGCTGGTCGGGGATTCCTCGGGAGCCCATCCGTGGTGTGCACAGCTGACCTTCGCTGCCCGGTGCGCTGCATCGATAATTGTCCTCAATAAAAGTGAGTCGACCGTGGGTGTCGCATCGACCAGCACTCTCAGCTACTTACCATGACTGTTACAAGCAAGACTCTGCATGACGGCTGGACCTTTACCCAAGTTGGAGGAGGGGAGGTTGTCAAGGACGGCGAGTGGCTGTCGGTGCATCAGTTCCCGACGACCGTTCATGTCGAACTATTGAAGCACAAGAAAATCCCTGACCCAGTGAGCTTCTCTTACCACTCGGATCCGAACGAGCTGCGCTCACCGGCGTGTTCTCCGAAAACTCATAATCCAGTTCATTGGGCTGCAAGAATGGGACGTGCAGTGTATGCGATATCGCTCGATTGCTCAACTTTCTGCTGATTGATGTAGGGATCGGCGAGGTACCGTGGGCATTCAAGACTCAGTTCAACGTCAGCGAAGTAGAAGTGTCTGCCCCGAACGTAGACCTTGTGTTTGATGGTCTGGATACATTTGCTACCGTGATACTCGTGAGTTGCACGCAGATCTATCAAGTCGGAGTTTGCTGACTGTATGACTTCTTTCATTCAGAACGGGCATCAGTTACTAGAGTCAGTCTTCACGTTGTATTTCGACGGCGCATTTTGCTGAATGAATGCACTTCTTCAGGACGGATAATCAGTTCATCTCTCATAGGGTCCCAGTCAAGCAGTATGTGAAGGTCGGAGATAACGAACTCCTTATCAAATTTGCGAGTGCATTCCGAAAAGTAAGGATATCAATCGCGCCTGTCATATAATGATAATATCAATTGGATAATCCCTACAGGGCAGAGAAATCGAGAAGGCCCACACAAAGTACAATCTGTGGAACGGCGACTCTAGCCGTCTCCATATTCGAAAGGCGCAATACAAGTGAGCCATTTTTGTTCTTGCATACTCAAAATACCCTAACATCTTCGCGCAGTTATGGTTGGGACTGGGGTCTGTTGATCACGGCTGCCGGTAGAAGTGATAACTGACGAACGGTCTGTAGGCCCGGTCCTCATGACAGTGGGTCCGTGGAAGCCCATCGTGCTGGAAGCATATCAAGCCCGCATCACCGATATCGATATTCGCGCAAATGTGTCCGAGGACCTGTCGGCCAACCTGGACGTTAACTTCGTGCTGTCGCGTGACAACCATAGCATTGCCTCCGTCAATCTCAAAGGGCCCGACGGCGCTCTTGTCACGGGCCAGAACAGCATCAAGATTTCTGATTCGGAAGCGAAGGCACGATTCAAGCTCTCCGCTGGGACGTACGAGCTATGGTATCCGGTCGGATACGGTAAACAGCCTCAATACACCGTGGAGATCGAGGTCGCCGACGAGGTGCGGTATCGGCACTGCCGACCATACTTGTGACTCAATTTATTTTCTCTCCTGAAGCATGGTGCCATCATCGATCACAAGACACAGAAGATTGCATTCCGTCGTGCTCAAATCATCCAGGAACCGCTAGTCGATCAGGAGGGCCGCACATTCCTGTTCGAAATCAACAATATCAGGATTTTTTGCGGTGGTGCGTGTGATCAATTGACGAGAAGCTGAGAAAAAAATGCCAATGCCTCGCAGGCTCCAACTGGATTCCGGCCGACTCTTTTCTGACTACGTTTGTCCTTCTATCAATCACGTCATGCGATACCTCATGGACTACTCGTCTAAAGGATGACTCGCGACCGATATCGCGCATGGCTCCAGCTTCTAGTCGATGGTAATCAGAACATGGTCCGTGTTTGGGGAGGTGGAATCTACGAAGCCGATGACTTCTACGACCTATGTGATGGTGCGTGAGCTAATGTGGCGTGTAGGCAGACTGAAATCATGTTGCGTTTGCAGAGCTTGGCATCTTGGTATGGCAGGATTTCATGTTCGGATGCGGACAGGTATGTCAACTATTCATCCGCACTGGCCGATCGATTGACCGATTGGGCTTCAGTATCCGGCCTACGATTCGTTCGTCAAGTCCGTGGAGGTAGAAGCAGAGCAAAATGTGAAGAGGCTCAGACATCACCCTTCCGTGGTGATCTTCGGTACGTGTCAACCTCGGCCCAAGGAGAGAATCCGTTTGACCACGTTTTTCGATAAGCTGGGAACAACGAGGGTGAGTCGACGCGGACGTCCATTGCCATGAGTCCTGATGAGTACAGATTATCAACTCGCCGAGTCCTGCAAACTGGATCTGGACTATTCTGACGAGACGTCGGACTTCCGCACGTCTACCTTCCCGGCGCGCTACATCTACGAACGCCTGCTACCCACCGTCGTCGAGAAGCTGAGCGATATTCACTACCACCGCAGTTCTCCGTACAGCGGGTTCGGCAAACCGACGACTGACCAGAAGCATGGCGACCTGCACCAGTGTACGCCTTTACGAGAGTGGTGTTCTCAATTGAATCATCTGACGTGTCCGCACCGGTAGGGAACGTGTGGCACGGCTCGCAGGAGCCGTGGCACAACTGGGACATCCTGGCTGGCCGATTCGTGTCAGAATTCGGAATGTGAGGCCGCTGAATTGCTCCTGCGATTTCTCCGCTGACGCTTGTGGCTCCAGGGAAGCGTACCCGGACATCCGTACGGTCGACTACTGGCTCGGCGGAGATAAGTCTGAGCGGTTTCCCCAGTCGAGGTGCGCCGGTGTGGCCACGTTTCTATGTCATTTGGGGACTGACGAATCCGGGCGCAAGAACCATGAACAACCACAACAAAGCTGACGGCTTCGAACGACGGTTAGAGGTGGGTCCTACTAGTCTAGGCTGTCACGGGTAGTGCTGAGGGCTTCGAACCATCAATCCAGCTCTACCTCGTGGAGAATTTCAAGCACTCGTTCGACATGGACAGGTGAGCGTTTCACGTCTAGCCGGACCAAGCAAGCGGCTGTTTACCCGTGTCCCCAAGCTATGTGTACTACACTCAGATCATGCAAGCCGAGACGTTGGCGTCGGCATACCGCCTCTGGCGGCGGAACTGGCGCGGGAAAGGCAGAGAATACACGGCTGGCGCCCTCGTGTGGCAGGTGCGCGGCTGCCCTAGCAGGATCTGAGTGTACCCTACTACGACGTCTCACGCTCACGCTTGCCAGATCAACGACTGCTGGCCGGTGACCTCGTGGGCGATCGTGGACTACTTCCTGCGCCCGAAGCCGGCGTACTTCAGCATCAAGCGCGAGCTCCGCCCGTACACGGTCGGCATGACGCGCAAGGAGCACAAGACGTTCGCGGACGAGCTCTCCGCCGCGTTCTTCGTGATCGAGACGGTGCTCGAGATCTGGGGCACGAACAGCACGCTCGCGGCGAAGAAGGCGTCGCTCGAGGTCGCCGCGTTCGACCTGCACTCGGATTGGCGCGAGACGTTTGCGCGCGACGTCGTGCTCGCGCCGAACGCGAGCACGGAGCTGTTCGCGGGCCCGCTGCCCGGGCAGCCGCGGCGCACGCGCGTCAGCGACGTGCCCCAGACGATCGTCGTCTCCGCGCGGCTGCTCGACGCGGGCGGGGCGGTGCTGGGGCGCTACTCGAACTGGTGCGTGTTCACGCATCGATAGCGTCTGCGCGCACGCGCGGGCGCGGAGGGCCGAGCTGAGCTGACGCCGGGTGACCCAGGCCCGAGCCGTTCAAGTACATCACTTTCCCCGACATTAAAGAACTCGGGCTCCGCATTACTGTTGGCGCGGACGGCGAGACGGTGGAGCTGGCGACGCAGAAGCCGATCAAGGGCATCGTTCTCGACGTCGAGGGAGCAGCCGCGCAGTGGAGCGACCAGGCCATCGACCTCGTGCCGGGGGACCCGCAGGTGATCAAGGTGGTGGGACTGCAGGGGAGGGAAATCAAGGCCAGATTCCTCGGGGATGGGACTGCGTGAGCGGTGGAATGCAGGAAGACAGAGAACGGCGTCAGAGCAATACTGTCGACGGATGTGTATTAGTAGAGGCGTCTGTGCGAAAACAGCGTGTCTGTGATTTGCTGCGCACAACGCACTCGTGTGATGAATCTGGACTGCTAGGCGCCGCCATTGTATCGGGCACATCGCCAATCGGCGCAATGGGATTAGCGGTCGTGTTATTAGAACCTCTAAGAAGGGCTAGTACAGGATAGAAGTCCTCGAGGGGCGACAGACAGCATAGACTCATACAGACAGTACATACTGGTGGAGAGTCAAGGAACAGGATGGCAGCTGCACAGGAACAGACGGTATCCAATAGTCCGAATACACATAGGAAGACCCCTAGAAACGGAAGGGAGCAACGGCCGCAGATGATAGGTTAGGAGGCGGAGAGAGCGATGCAGCATGACGAGAGGGAGATTAATGCAATGGGTGCTGAGGTGGCGCGGGAGTGTAAACGTTCTATGGTGGATGCAAGATGCGGCAAAAAGAGACGGAGAAGAAAGTCTAGGCTACATCACATAATGACGCATTTGCTGGCTGGAGGCTCGGTGGCGTTGCTATTTGGCGCGGCCTTCTCGATTTCGCCAAGACAGAGCTCGAAGACCTTGGCTGTGGGTTTGTAGCATGAGGAAGTGAGCGGAGCGGGAGGAGGGGACGGACGTACCGACGTTAACGTTGTTTTTCGCGCTGGTCTCGATCCAGGCGGCGTGGTGGCTCTTTGCGAGCTCCTCGCCTTCAGTGGGGGCGACCTGTCTGGTTGTGCTGTGAGGAAAATGATGTGGGCGGGGGTTGGGACAGCAGGAGATGTGCAGGCTGCCCCGAGACGTACCTCTGCTGGAGGTCGGTCTTTGCGCCGACGATAACGCAGGGGATAGAGTTCATGCCGCAAAAGTCGATGATCTTGTCGTAGACGACCTGGACCATGTCGAAGGACTTGCGGGACGTGACGGAGTAGACGAGGACGAAGCCGTGGATGCCGATGGCGTGTTTGGAGTTGAGGATGGTGTACTCGTCCTGTGCACGGGGGGGTGAGCTCGGGGGGAGAATGGGAGGGAGAGGACGGACCTGGCCGGCGGTGTCGATGATGTCACAGTCGTACTCGACGCCCTTGTAGCTTATGCTCTTGGAAAAGGTGCTCTCGATGGTAGGGTAGTAGGATTCCACAAAGTTGTTGTCGATGAACTGAATAACGAGCGAAGACTTCCCTGTTGCGGGATGAGGTTGAGCGGCGGGAGAGAAGAGAGGGGCGTACCGACTGAGCGAGAACCAAGGACGGCGATCTTTCTCTTCCTGAGGATGTCACCGGGCATGACGAAGGGAGAAATTAGGGAGAGCGACGGCGGGGAGGAGGAGGAGGAGGAGGAGGAGGGAGGGAGGCGGGGAGAGGTGCGCCCGCCGAGGGGCTTTTAACAGCCAGATCCGGCCAGCGCCTCCCCGCGCATTTTCGGCTCTGCCCTCGCCGTGGACGACGATGAGCTCCGCTGTCCCTCTTTACGTCTCAACGTCGCCCACTCAGTCTGCTGACCCTGTCACCCGCTGTCTCTCTCGGTCGTCAGCCAGCGCCCTCGCTGCTTCTCCGCGCGGGGATGTATGCGACTGGGCCCCTGCTTTCTGTAACGAGCCTGCGACAATTGGCCCCGCTGCACACTCACTTGCGACGCATTGGCCATGCCGTCGTCGTCGGATGATGTAAACCGCTGGAGCGGGAGGCCCAGCCAGTCTCCACCGTCTGTCGTTCTTCTCCCAGGTCGACTATCTATGGATCCGGGGCTCTTTTTCCCAGATCTCGGCGTGTCTCACCAGCCGCCTTCCCCCTCTCGCTTTGCTCTGATCAACTCTGATAACAGAACACGCTTTTCCCCCCCAGCGCTGTGTCTCAGAGTCCGATATGCCATTGGCCTCCCCCCCGGTCCGTGACATATGTCCCCGCCTCCATCTCTCGTCCCCGTGCCTCCAGCCTACAATGAATTCGCGTGGCGACGATCCGCCGGCGAGCAGTCCAGCCTCTAGCACATCCGCATCCGTCGCGCGCCCATGCCACAATATCACATGGAATGTCCGAAGAAATCCCAAGGAAAAGGAGCACTCTACAAGGCGCCCCCGCACACCAGCCTAGTGCTAGCCCAGGCGCCGACGCCGACCCTGTGGAGAGTTGTCCACAGCCGCCGCATCTCCTCCTTGGTGATACATGCTCTGCGATAACGTTGGTAGGACGATAGACCCTTCAAAATCGCATATATGTCACTCCGCTTGGTCACCCACCACGACCCGAATGATAGTGGCCCGAGCGACGATCTCCGCATCTGCGACGCCATACACCGATGGTCGGATGCTGGCACAGCCGAAATACCACGTACGCACATCGAGACCCGGACGGTATACATGCTAGCAATAGCGTCAACTCTGCCCGAGCAGTGCATGCTCCGGGGGTCCATCGCGCCCAATAGTCTAAAATCGCCCGTCGGCTCCACGACTTACCAGGCCTCTGCCCGGTGTCAATGTCCCTGGACGCCACATACATGCCCCAGCCGCGCCTGTCACGCTGGCTGCATAAGCATTCCCAAGTGTATGCTCCCGCAGCCCGTGTTGTGATTGGGTTCAAGGTTCAAACGACGCGGCCGAACGCATGGTCCAGGGGGCGGCACATCATTCTCGATTGATCACCGGCTCACTGCTGAGCAAGGTGTGCCCAGGCTGACGAGGTGCGCGCACGGCCCCGGGGAAACGTGCGGCTCGAGCTCCCAGGCGAGAATAGCCCATCTAGGGAACACCTTCAAAGTCTTCCCTACGCGCGCCCTACTGGATATGGGCCGGTGAGCTGCAGTGCTGTTGAAACTGGGAATGCGAATACACACTATGACTCTCCAGACGCCCCATGCGCCTATGGATGGCCCCACAGCAGCCAGGACCTGCGAAAGGGGGTACTCTTGGTGCCGGCAGAACCAAAGTTGGTCTATCTATGTAGACGGAAACACACACCAGCACTCGAGAGGGTCTATCTATGTAGACAGGAACACACACTAGCACTCGAGACACGAGCCACACAATCAGCATGAGATTAATGCCGTTGTTCATCTTACAGCACGTTGATTATACGTCGGCCGCATCAGGAACGGAGGACATGACCAATGGCATGTTGGGCATTTCAGAGAGAGCAGCCACGTAACCATCATAGAGCAAGGGCCTAGCAGGTCCCTCGAGTCGGTACTCGACGGCTGGAGAACAGTGGCGCAGCGATGAGCTTGTAAACCTTGACAAAAAGCGAGAAATGCAATACCTGCACATTTTTTCCCAGATCGTGCCCGGTGCTCTTTCGAAACGGTGTTGCAACCCGTGCAGCCAGAGCGTGCTGGGTCAACCAGGACCTGCGCCGCTGCGGAGGGTTGTCGGGCGAGATCGCCCATTCATGCTCCGACACGGTCACGGGATCGACGCGATACCTTCACGTGACCGTTCATTTTCGAACACGGTCGTGAAGGCAGCCGCGCGCGTATCCAGCTGCAGTTGCAGTTGCAGCCAACCTCCATCTCGCCGCCATGT